CGTCACTCACCATTTTCAACACTCCCACCACAAAGAATTGTGTAAGAATATCAACACCACCATCGACATGCAAATGATGTAAGAAAATAAATATCATTATCGTCATCCAACAACAACAGCAACGTGGATCGAAGAAGACACCTTAACCCACCTCCGCGGACATGGTATCCTCGGCCAAAGGTCCCACCGGCATCACCTGCGATCCGAACATTAAGGCAGGAGGGGAATAAAATGAAAAAACAGGAACACAAGGGAATGGACAGCTCGAACCAAACAAGTCGGCCAAGCTTGGGGACTATGTCAGCAACTAATTGTTGAAAGTCGAGAGAGGGTGGCCCAGACGTGGCGAATCACTCGTGTGCAGTGCGTATGACATCGGTTCTGGAGGTGGCAACACGGTCGTCCACACAAGACCAAGGGTTCCAGAATATTCTTCCTTCGATGCGAAACCCGAGTGGAAACATTATGGTAGCGCGCCTTCACCTCCCATCACGCCATTGTTCGATGTGTCAAACAAGAAAACCTCGCTCAACGGTTGTGCAGGCTGAGCACTCAGGAACACCACATTGGACACCACAGCCGGTCGTGGCACAGGCATTAACACTTCCAACATTGCCGCACCAAGGACACCGAAGACGACCACTACTTCGACTCTCACCCTGGCGGCTTGGTTGTCGGCCACACATCCGATGACCTCGTAGTCGTCGGAGACGATGCTGGCCGGCGCGGGCGTAGGAGGGACGGGGAGGGTCGGCGCGGGCGTAGGAGGGGAAGAGGTGTCGGCGACGATCTCGTACATGGAAAGGGCGTCAAAGCCGCCGCAGGTCTCCGCACTGTTTCCAGCGCAGTCCATGGTGCAGGCGCTGGAGGTCTCGGTTGTTCCGAGCGATCCTGTGCACCAGCACTGAGAACGAAACGTGGTTTGCGGGGGGTGGGGGGTGCGATAGCAGGAGGGAAGAAGAAGAGGACTTCGGTTAATGAATATGCGCGAATCGGGTGGAAACTGCGTTTGGTCATTCGTCGGAGGCTGGTTCGTGTCAAGCACCGCGTGTTACACGACCAACCGCACGATGTGGAGCTGGCAGCATGGCAGCATGGGCTCTGGTGGTCGAAAAAGTGCCGGAGGCGACTTCCGCTGAAGAAATCGAATCGAGCAAGGCCAGAAGACTATCAACAGGAGCAGTACACCAGGCAACGGCGCCAACAACACCAGCAGTACCACCAATGCCAAAGCCAATCTCAAACCCACGCCACGCACCTCTTCCCCGTACTGGGTGCCGAAGTGGGTGTTTGAGTCGTCTTGGGCTGAGCAAATCCCGAAACAGATCTGGGAAGGAAAACCATATTTTTGGGGGGGGGCAAGGAGAGCAGAGGGCCACAACTCAATCTACGCGGGGAACGAGGAAAGAGCACAGCACCTGCCCCAGCGAAGCAGTACCGGATGGCAGACTCCTTTGGAAAGCTACGGGAGGGTCAAACAAAACCCAATTACCTCGGAAAACGCAGTACAGTATGGATCTCTCCGTTATCCGCAACACCTACCTCCGCAGACATGACGTCCTCCGCGAGCGGTCCCACAGGCATCACCTTCATTCGAGAAAACAAGACGTGCAAGAGTCAAAAGGAACAAATACGCGCGTGCGATGTCGATAAAACACCAGCCCTGTCGAGGGCGGCAGTGTGAAAAACTTGACCTTCAACAAAAGGTGCTCATTCAAGAACTCCACCCTATCAACTACTCTGCATGCCGTGGCTGTTCGTTTGCTCCCACGGGAATCAAGGCTCAAATACTGCTGGCGTGTAGTGTACCCTAACTTTATCGCCCGCTTCTCACTCGCGTGCGATTTTCCACTCGCACTCTCGTGGTTTCGGTTGGCACACCATCACCACTTCCCTCTCTATTTCTCAGTTCCTCTCTCTCTTCCTCTCTCGCTGTCGCGAGCGCTCCCCACTAACAACATGGGCGAGATACCCACCACTCCCTTCTGTAGCTCATCCGTATTCTCTACACGGGTGAGGCGAGAATCATCTGTTCTACAATTCCTCACCCACCGCGAAACCTCTAACCTCCATTGATCTCTCCTCTTCGTCTCACCCTAGAGGATTGGCTGTCGGCAACACACCCGACGAAGTCGTAGTCGCCGGAGGGGACCACGGGACTGGCCGGCGCGGGCGTGGGTCCGGGGGGAGTGAAAGGCGCTGGCGTAGGAGGGGCTTCGGAGGCGATCTCGTACAGAGTGAGGGCGTCAAAGCCGCCGCAGGTCTCGGCAGTGTTTCCAGCGCAGTCCATGGTGCAGGCGGTGGAGGTCTCGGTTGACCCGAGCGATCCTGTGCACCAGCACTGAGGACGACACG